ATGATATGTTTAAATGCTTACTATATGATGGTGTTAAAACTGTATGAAAAGTTGTAGGCAAATGTGCCGGGTTGTAGGTTCCTTCTAGATTTACTAAGGCTATGATGCCAGTTGGAGTTGAGTCGTTATTATTATGGTTGATAATCTTCTTGTTATTGTTGTTATCATTGTTGTTTGTATTAATGAGTTGATAATGGGTTGTATTGCTGAGTGAGGTGTTAAGAATTCAATAATAAGTTGTTCAAAAAAATTACGTTCGTAATATGATATATATACATATTTATATGATTGTGATTTCTATTTTGTAAGTTCACTCTTGCATATTGTCTATGTTGGTGTGTATGCATTTTGCAATGATCGTACTGTAGTACGTGAGCAAATGGGACAGGTACTATAGTTACTTCTCATACTGGAAGGTTTAGCTTAGGAATATTAGAGTCAACATTCTTTTGGGGGGAATTCGTAGGTTTAATTATTTTGTCAATCTAGGTTTAGATGATAGGCCTAGACACTTTAGCTATAGTTTTCTAGCAATATATATATATATATATATATATATATAAAATTCAAATCCTTGTATTTTGAGCTCCATGCAGAGTAACGATTGTAAATGTATACATATAATTTTTGTATTTTAGTGATATCAGAACATAGTCTAGGTAAACCCACCTCACTCAAGCGAGAATTTGAGATTGACATAGGTGCTCTTTAGAGGATTTTTGCTCAAGCGAAAAATCAACTCGCTCAAGCGAGATTTTGAAAATGAAAAAGGTGCTCTCTAAAGCATTTTTGCTCAAGCGAAATGCGCACCCAGTTTTAAATTATATGTTAGGGGTTTATTTTTCATATTTTTAAACTCAAAAACCTTCCCACTCTCAAAGCACTTTTCTCTCTACTTCATAAACTTAATTTGCCTTAGTGTGACAAGCTCACTCACCTCTCTCCACTTATGCCCTAACTCAAATCTGTTGTATAAGGTATGTTGTCCTTTCACTCTGTGATTTCCATTCTGCGTTCATGGTGAAAGTCCCTATGTTCTCTGTTGAAACTTGAATTTCTTTTTGTGTCATTTGGTATTATCTTAGGCATTATGATGATGGGCATGATGAATGTATGATCCATATAACAATGAAAGCTTAGTTTGAAATTCTAAAATTTGGCATTCTAAAATTTGTAAAATTGCTAGAACTCACAGGCTCTCAGTTACAATGCAGTAGTTGTTATGTATTTCTCCTTTTTGCATTCACACTATCATACATGTGCATTTAAACAACTTTGATTTTTTGCCTAGTCTGTTAGCTAACAAATTCAATTAGTTGAGTCTAGCCCTGCCTTATAATTATGAATTATGAAATGGTTTTTGGCTATTTGTAAGATTGGGTAAAAAGGCTTTAGCTGGGATTAATAAGCAACCAAGCTCTAAAGCTGCTGGCAAGAGACCTAGAATTGAGACTCCTAAGGTTAAATCCTCTTTAACACCCAACACAAACCTTTTTAGGGACCCAGAAAGGCAAAGAAGATATGAAATCATAAAGAACTGGTCTTTCATTCCTAAGAGAAAGGTTAACTTAATTCCAGGGGAGTTTTCAGAATTTATTGAAGAAGTTACCTACTGGAGATAGAACAGGTTAATTGGCCATTACCCAAATTTGATCCTGAAGTGGTGAGGGAATTCTATGCAAATGCTTGGCATTTTCAATTAGGTGTTATGGATAAAAGATTCAAGGTTCTGGGGCACTAGGTACCATATGACAGAGCTGCAATCAGTGACTTTCTCTTCATTTGGAAGAAGAGGAAATGTTCACATACAAGAGGTTGAGAAGATAGATTCAGGGCTTCAATGAATATAGGGTTGTTGAAATGTTATGCTTGTCTGGACGCTCATTTAAAACAAACCATGCAGGCAAAGCAATAAGGATATTAAGAGGGAACATGAAGTCCTTCACTCAAATTTGGATGACCTTCTTGTTGGCCAACATAGTACCGATCAAGCATAACTCATATTTGAACATGCGACGCTGCTACTTGCTGTACTGCATCCTGAGACGCTATTTTGTGGACATAGCCACCATCATTAGTTTGTCATAGATGAATCAGGCAACCAGATCCTTGGAATTTTCAGCCATCATCATTGCATTATGTGTTGCTCATGGTGTTGATGTAGCACCTTCTAAGAAGATCAAGCCGACCATTAAGAAAAATTTTATAGAAAAGAACTACATCAACCTTGACAAGCATCTACAAGATCCCAATGCACCACCCCCACCAGCACCCTAACCAGCAACTGTAGCAAATCAGGCACTACCCTTCTGCCCACACCCACCATCCATGGTAGCCATGATGGAATACCTCCAGAGACTTGAAATCCACATGTACCACTCAGAGGACCAACAAGCAGCCAATCATAGAGGCAAAACATAACAACTCATTCTACAACTTTTCCACTCAACATTTTCCGAATCAAACTCCAAGCGCATGGCCTGGGGACAAGCCTATCTTTTAGGAGCATGCTAGGTTCTATACAATTGAGATTTATGACAATTTGCTGCATTACTACATACATTTGTTTGCAAAAGAAACAATATTACCCATATTATTAGAAATATCTTTAGGTTGAACAAAGATATTGTCAAAAGCATACAGGCCTTTCCTTAGATGTACATGAAAAATAGTTTTACTGTCTTGACATTTAAAATAGCATGTGTTAGGATAAAATTCAAAGAACACATTGTTATCATGAGCAAACTGAAATACACTTAGCAGATTTATATAAATAAATGGAACATGCAACAATTTATTGATATAAAGAGGTTTCAATGATTTAGATGGAAAAAAGACGAAATTACCTATATTCTTGATGGTAGAGGACTCACCATTGGCCATTTTGAGTTTACCATTACCTGTGTAAGGAGCTTTAGTCATCAGATTTGATGAATTAGTAGTGATATGGTTAGTGCACCCATGTTAGGGTACCAAGAAGGATCATGAAGGTTTCTGGGACAGTCATCAATGTTGTCATGTTAGATTGATCATCCAGAGATGCCTCAGCCACCATTGCTTTATTGGTTGAGTCATTGTAATTTGATGCTTGTGGAGAAGAAGTATCTTGATATTGAGGATTGAACTTGTGATAGCAATTAAGAGCTATGTGTCCATGTTTGTTACAAACTTGACACTGAGGTCTGTCGTGGCTTCTCTCATTGCCACGAGCATTGCCTTTAAAACCTCCATGACCTCGAAAATTATCTTGGGCTTTGCATCTATAGAAACCCTGATGCTTTCCTCTATAATTATTCTGAAATTGAGCATAATAATTGGCCTTAATACTGATATTTTCTTGTTCCTCATGTTGACGCCTTTCAAGCCTATTCTCTATAGTAATTAATAGTGTTTCAATTTCAGTAACAAAGTAAGGGTCCATTCTTGAGGTTATGGATGTGACCAAAATATTATATTCACTGTGAAGACCAGCAAGCATGATTTGGACGTGCTCACCTGAATCAATGTGAGAACCCACAAATGCAAGAGTATTGATAATCTTCTTTATCGCAAGAAGATAGCTATTCAAAGAAATCGATCTTTTTTATCCCTTTCAACTGAATCTTGAGTTGAGAAACACGTGCACGAGTTTGAGTCTCAAAGTAAAGATATAACACTTTCCAGATTTCATAGGCATGATTACAACTAATCATCTGTGAATGAAGGCTTGAAGACATAGATGCAAGAAGCCAAGCAAACATTGTTTGATCTTATTGCTCCTAGGTAGAATATTCATCGTAGACTTTATCTTCAACCTCGTCATCCTCATTCTTGTATTGCGAGTATCCCTCCATGATTAGCATGATCAACATACTTCTGTAATTTGAATGATTTCAAAGCGCCAATAGCTTGCATTTTCCAAATGAGGAAATTATCATCATCAAACTTCACCAAGACAAAATCATTGATTGCATAACATTGGATTGAGTCGTGGTCACTATTGGTGGATCATGAACTTCTTATACCATGAAGGGATCAAAGGAACAACAGAAGAGAGATAAGATAGAGATAGAGGGAATTGTGAAAGAATACTTAATATATTGAATGATAAAAAGATAAATGTTACAAAGGAGTTTAATGTATATAAAAAGAAACTAGTTTAGTAACAAAAACTAACAGAAGAATACATTTGTACAAACTTAAAATAGAAGAACTTAAGTTCTTTCTTATAGATATTATTTTTATTAAGACATAAATTTATTTCTAGGTAAAAAATATTAAATAAATATTATATTAAATTATTTTTTATTTTCTCTATTTAATATATATAATAAATTTTTACTCTATTAAAAATATATATTTCTTATATTTTTTAAAAAGTTATAAACTGTGAAAGTATTAAAAAAAATAGATGATCAAATTATTAGTGCCTATAGTATTGTTAGATTTTTAAAATAAGTCCTCATGGATTAAAAACTTTTAATCAACTCTTTACAATTTAAAAATGTTTAATTACATATTTTTTTCCTCTGACGTAAGCGAAATGCGATTTTGATTGCTCAGAAAAAAAAATGAGCTGATTAAATTCTTCTATATTTAAAATCATGCAGTTAGTTTCCGATTAATTTTTTTTACCTTTAACTCTTAAATTTCAATTTTTCTTTACTTTTGGTGAATGGCGAGGGACTACGCCCCTTTAAAGCAAAACTACAAGGATATATTATCCGAGTAGTAGAAACTCCAATTGATTCCTAACAACACTGATGACAACTGGGAGGAGACATGAATGATGATCTGAACATTCTGAAAACATCTAAAATTAGCCAAAAGATCAGCTCACGTATTCTCTTTCCTGTAAATATGCTTAATTTTAACAAATTCGCATTTCAAATATTTCTTTTTACTGCTGTTGACGAGTACACTTTCCTATAGCCAGAACTCAACACAACTGTAACCGAGTTTTAGAAGCAAAAAAAAAAAAATCAAATTCCAACTAACGGAAGTTGCAAGAAAATGACCTTAAAACCATTAAGCAAGTGCCACCCTAACCCTAACTGAATCCTACTCATCACTCACGTAAGTTAAGTAGCACGCATCCGAATCCGATATATGTCATAAGTATTTTGTCCAAAACTAGATAGTATCAGGCAAAAAAATAAAAATAGTTTCTTTTATATTCAGATTTGACTATTGGCTGTGAAGGGTCCATAGCTATACCATTCTGACCTGAATTCCCTCAGCAAAATTTGTAAAAGAGCAACCGAATACCCGTAAATTCCTATAGTATTACATGAATACTTTCACGAGGTTGAGGGAGTTCAGCAAGTTGTCGTGGAAAGGATCAGAGACGTGATCAATAAGGTTCTGTACCGGACCTTTACCCGTCATAGCTGCTTGCACATAAAAGCCTAACCAGGCAACCATTGCTAAGCGTCCATTCTTTATTTCTTTCACCTTCAGCTCTTCAAAAGCTTCAGGATCTTTGGACAGATTCAAGGGATCAAACAAAACACCTCCAGGATAATTTATATCACCAGGCAGATATATTCCTAAAGGCTCCAACGCCGCAGTCCCACAATATCTAGCATATTCTGGTCCAACCTGTTTAAGAATCTAGTAAGTATACCGGGCACATCCATCTGCGGACGCAAATGACTGTCCAGAAAGAACAAGTATTGTAGTTAGGTGGCCCCAATAAAATTTGCGTGGGAGACAACTTTCAAGCATTCAAGTATGTCAAAAGAACACCTGTGAAGGATTACAGGCCATATGAAATGCCTGGAAAGGTCGTTTAGGATTACAGGCCCGTTCCATTTGCAGAATTAAAATGAACCACTTCAACCAATGCAACCTAATTGAAAATCTGAAATCATATATGCTGTACAACGTCACCACTCACTTCTCACGAGCCCAAAACCAATCTAAAAAGCACCCTTTCACTTTATTTGAAAAAAAAGTAAAATTTAAAGAAACCCTCGGAGCCCCCACCCCTCCTTATTTCCATTTCCTACCAACATCCCCAGCCCCTCTTCGTCCCTCCTCTCATCTTTCCTCCATTTTCCTTACCCTAAGTCATCCTTTTGAAATTCTAGAGACAAACTAGTGACCCACTTATTTTTCTCTTCCATATAGATAGATAACTTTGAGTAATTTTCTAGAATTGGGAGTGCTCTAAGGAGTAAAGGGTGCTACCTATTACTTGAAAGTTAAAAGTTTAATATTTGGATTCTTGAGGATCCACAACTCAAAAACTTGAAAAAAATGTTCTTGGCATGCTTTCATATTAAGGAATTATGTATTTGAGAGCTCTAAGAATAAAGCTAAAAAATTCATTTTTAGATAATTTGTTTAATCATTGTTGAATGTTGTTCATGTTCGAATTCATTGGCTCACTACTTCCCCTGCAATTTAAGAGTAGTCATTGTTAGCAGGAAAAAATATTTGAAGAGTAAGAAAAAGAAAAAGAAGAGATTTGGAGAGAAGTGTACACAATGCTGTCAAGGCATAGATGAACGCTTTCTTTTAAGTTTAATTCAACCCCATCAATAACAAAACTATGCAACTTGGATTGATGGTGAATTTCTTTACAATACAACAAAGACCTTTGAGTATGATTTGCACTCCAAAATCTAGTAGTAAGAATAATGGGTGTTTACAAAATAATAATTTTATCTTAACCTCTTGAGCATGTGTGAAGAAATCAAGAGAATGGAGGGAGAATTAAATATTAATTGTGGATGGAGAATGTCCTCATTTACAAACACTTTATGTCTATCTAAATGTTGTTACTTGTTATTTTACAAAAAGTAGCATCAATTTAAATAGTGTATATTCCATGAAAAATCATGTCATTTCATTATTTGTCTTACAAAAAGTCACTTCTATTCTAATGTGTTTCCAAAATGGACATCTCATTTCATTTGCTGTCTATTCATGAATCATGTATAAGTAGTTATATCATTTCACTTGATGCCTATTCATGTAAGATATGTCCTTTGATCTACATATTTATAACTAACTTGTATGAAACATTATAACTTCTGAATTGAATTAAGACTTTTTTTTAAAGATGAAATAAGACAATTCTCTTCATTTGAATAAACTAATACAACTTTTCATTTTAAATGAAGAAATACAATTTTTCATGTTTTGATAATTTCTTAGTTCTGAAGGGTGATTTAATCAACTCTTCACTATTGTGAGTGGATAGTGATTATATAGACTTGATAGTAATATTTTATAATTATTATTTGATATTATTTTATAAAATTATTTACTTGAGAAAACAAGCTTTTATATTATTTTTCATTCACTTCAAAATTATGCAAAATGAATTTTTGTTGAATACCAGGATTATATTTGTGAAATATAACCATGCACACACATGGATAACCATGCACATACCAAGGTTATATTTATGAAATATCAGATATCATGTGCTAAAGCTTGGTCATCTAAGGACTGGGTAGTGGTGCTGGAACATACATTCAAAGAAAGGAATTCATGTGCTGATTGGTAGCTAAATACGTTGAAGGAATAATGCTTCTTATGTTATGGGACTCTTGTCCAACTGATATTCGTGTTAACATGATATCAGAGATGATAGGTATGCCATATAGGCGTGAGCAGGTGGCTGTTTGTTGTTTTCCTTTCTTCATCTCTGCGTGTGTGTATCTCTTTCTCTCTCACACAATTTTCAATGTAATTAACTTGACCCTATAAATTTTTAAGTGCAAATAAAGTAACTGTACATATTTTCAAGTGTAACCTACTTACCTACTTATTCTTGTGGCTTTCCTAGTACAATCTACCTGATCCCCCTACTTTTCAATGCAATATTAAAAGCAATTAATCCTACAATCTTTACACTCCAAACATCTAATCTAAAGCATGAGAGGTGTGTTAAGATCTCACATCAACTATAAATATGATTAAAGTTCATAAGGACTTAAATAATCCTCACCTCATGAAACAACTTTCCAGGCTTAGTTACCCCAATCCAAATTCAAGAGATATTTAATCAAGAAAATATAAGTATCAAACTTTTATCTTTGAAAATAAATTTGGTTCATGTTTGAAAATGATTTTCTATGAAATATTTTCTTAAAGAACTCATATTAGAATCTCAAAATCATTAGTGATAATAACAATTTAGGTCCAGCTAATAATATCTCAAAAAGAGATTATCCATTACTTGAAACTGGTAGTACCCAAAAAAGGCTATCAACAAAATAAAGATGCTTCCAAGGACGTGCAATGAGATAACATGACATAACATAATTTGAGAGAAGAGAGGATTGCCTCTTAGATAGAGTTGTTCACAGGGCAGCACATAAGGGAGAGACCACCATTAAAAGAAGAAGACTATCAATGAGGTGGAGCTAACACACATTCATGTATGATTCATGTAAATCTAGAATCCTTTAATTTTATATTGTTTTGGCACACTTATTCTACTTTAATCTATAAATATTTTATTATGATAGATGTAAACTTGAAAAAAATTAGTACTTAATTGCATAAATTTCTTAAATTATTATTCATACTCAAGTCTTTAGAATATGATTTGATAAAATTATTTTTATTAATTTAGCATGTTATAACCATGTTCTATAATTATGAACCATTCATGCACTAATTATTTCCTTCTTGCTCATTCTGGGTAAAGTGTTCATCTCGAATCTGTGACTCACCACTTTTTTACTCTCTTTTCTTTTTCCAGATCATTCGATAGTTCAATTGCAAGCAATTGAAAGTTTCAGTCCATACCATTAGAGTATTCCATTCCGTTGTTTCAGTGAATTCTTTTTATTCTATATTGAACTTTGGACATTTTGTAACTTTACAAAGTTAGTATTGTCATTTTGAAGACGGAATAGATACCTAGGTATTGAAATGATGTGATATTATTATGTCCTTTTTGGCTATTGATGAATTGGGATATATTCTAACGTATTCTAGTTATTTTGGGAAGCTGTAATTATGGGGGAGACTTTACTAAAATTTTGATAGATTTGAAGTTTTTGTATGAAATATTGATTTCTGTTAGACCAACGTGCATTTGGGCTAATGAGTTGCTAGTGCAAGATAGTGGACCTGGCCCAAAACCATGGGTAGTTTATGTGAGAAAGAAAAAGACAGGCACAGGAAATGTGGGTGGAAAAGAGGATGAGCTGGATAGTTAGTTATGCCAAAAGAGGGAGAGAATCGTTTCTGATATGGGGGAATGATTTGTTTAGAGGGGCATCTTTTGCAGTTACCCAATTTGTAAGAATGGAGAGCCCCTAAGTTTCTTCAACGGAGCCAGGCTCTGAGGGTAGGGAGAGAGTCTCTCCTTGCATTTCTTCTTGTTTCAGTAATTAAATACAATCTCCCCATTTTTCTTCTTTCATTTGCTGCTGCTGTTCTGTGTTTTCTATTCTGATTCTTAACAATGGTCCGACCTGTCGGATGCTAATACGCCGCAAAATGACAAACAACAAGAAAGGGGGAAATTCAAAGAAAGGAGGATCAGAGACATCGGTGGACATGGATGATCGAGTGGAGGAGGTAGAGCGTGAATTAGCTCTGGTGCGTGAGGCGATGGAAACTTTAAAAACCAAAACAGAACAGAGTCGTGAGACGTGAGACGTGAGACGTGAGAATGCGGAAAATCAATCCGAGATCCTTTCCCTTTTGACCCAAGAGTTCTGAAAAGGAAAAGGGTGCAGACGAAGAGTCAAAGAAGTTTTTGGAGGAAGAGGGAGAGAATTCCGGTGACCCAAAAACACCGTGGAGCAAGACATGGAACTCCATTCTGCATAAGCTTGACGGCGACGCGTTGATGGAATTCCATCAGTCCGTAAAGAAAATTGAACTTCTGATGTTCAATGGGGAGGATCCCGCAGGGTGGATATCTCAGGCAGAGGTATATTTTCGTGTCCAAGAGACGAGTGATTCCGTTCGGGTAAATCTGGCGCAACTCTGTATGGAGGGGGAAACCATCCATTTTTTTAACGTGTTGATTAATGAGGAGGAAGACCTGTCTTGGGAGGGTCTAGAGAGGGCTTTGATCAAAAGATATGGTGGCTTTGGTGAAGGGAGTGTGTGCGAACAGATTACGTCGTTGTTTCAGACGGGCTCCAGTTTTGAGTATTTGATAGCGCAAATGGAGAAAATCCCAGATGAGCACTATGAAGCTTTTTTCCTTTGCGGGGTTGAAGGATGAAATTTGAGGTCGTGTGCATAGTCTATTGGCGGTGGGTCCGCTTTCTCGCGGGCGATTGCTGAACGTAACTCGCTCTGTAGAATCAGAGCTATGTAACAAGGAGAAGATGACGAACACATTTGGAAGAAGGGATTTCAAGGTTGGATCGGGATCGGGTACAACTTGGACAATAAGGTCTAACCCGATTCATCAAACCGCAATTTGGTAGGTCAAGAAAAAGGGTTTAGGCAAGGAAATGGGCCTGTTAAGGGGGTGTTACACTAGGCCCAATTTTCGTGATGGAGTGATAGAGCAAAACAAATATGGGCCTAGAGACAGGGGAGTGAAGCATATGTCATACTAACAAGTCTTAGAAAGGCGCCAGAAAGGCTTGTGTTTCAAATGTGAGGGCCCG